GGCAACAAATGTACAAATGTGCTTGACACACTGGATGTATGTATGGATTGTTGATAAGAGCTGTATAAGCCCCCAATAAAATGATTTTTTTTAAATCAGCATTTTAGACTTGGGTAATTTCCTTCCTGAATTATCATCATTTCTTTTTGTATTTTTTCTCTTTTTCGTCCTAGCATTCTGTCAACATTTTCTCCTCTCGGTTTTCCACTTGATTGTGGTGGTGATTGTTGTTAGGTGCCCCCAAATCAGTTCTGATTACAGCGATTCCACTTACAGTGGAACCCAACATTACCCATTCCGCACTGTCTTGACAATCACTGCTACTTTTTGAATCCATTGTCGTAACTCCTGTGTCAATTCATCTTATTGAGGGTCTTCTTCTGCACTGGTCCTCTACCTAGCACGAGCTCCTCTTCCATAGACTGTCCCACTCTCTTCTAGAGTTGCTGTGAGTCATAAATCACATGATGGCAATGATTTGCTTTGTTTGTGTTTTTACCATGAGCCTTTGTATTTTCATCCCCTCGTATGCATGTGAAAGTTAGACAATGATTAAGGAAAGCGCGATGCTTTTGGATTATGCCGTTGGTTAAGAATATTGAACATCGCATGGGCTGTCAGAAGAACAAACAAATCTATCTTGAAAGAAGTACTGTCAGAAAGCTCCTTACAAGTCAGGATGGTCAGACTTCATCTTGTATACAGTCATTCTGTGGGAGAAGGATGAGGCTGTGTGCTCCCATAAAGAGTTAAAATCTCAGAGTTGAAGGAGAAGTTTTTCTCTGTCCTGTATGACAATTATGAGTCAGAATCAGCTCAATGGCAGTGTTTTTCTATTGTATTCTTTCAACAATAGCGTATTATACCTCATACTGTTTAAAAATCTAGAAGGGTTTCTTAAGTGGGTAAGAGCCATTTCTCCACAAAGCCTAGCAGAGCATCTTGCTCAAAGTAATGCTCAATGTTTTTTGAAAGATCAGCCCAAAATTCAAATCCTAATTCCCCCCAAAAGTACATGATGGCCCTACTTCAGTTAAGAGCGTTCCTGTATTTCCAGCTCACCTAGCGTCACCCCAGGTGCTCTCTTCCAAAGTCTTCACACGATGCCACTAAGAGACAGTCATTCTACATCCATAAGTCACCTGAAACCAGCCGTGGCAGTTCTCACTGCAGCCACTCGATTCAAATGTTCAGTTCTTTTGACCTAAATGCTTTTCTTCTTCCCCTTGATTCATTCTATATACATTGCCAAAGAAACATTTCCCTGCTCAAAACTTTTAGAAAGTTGCGTGACTTTGGGCAAGTTTCCTAACTTCTTTGAGCCAGTTCCTGATAATATTATTAGTACAGGCTGTACTGCCCAATACAGTTGCCACCAGCCGCTATTTACATTAAAATTTATTAAAATTAAATAAAACTTAAAAATTCAAGTACTCAGTTGCAGTAGCCACATTTCAAGTGCAGAGGAGCCGCCTGTGCCTATCGATGACAACAGTGATACAAAGTGGGCAATGCCACCCCATAGGGGGTACTGGAACAATCCAGGGCGGGGGCTGCAAAAGCGGATACCTACACTCCATCCTAGACAATGGGCTTTAGTACAAAAGTGTCTCATTTCCAGAGGGGCACTGAGTAATTTTCTTCCTGACAAGGGAACAGCAGGCCAAAGAAGTTTGGGAACCTATGCTATACAGGATAGTGGGACAATTCCATCATTGTGGAAATATTCTACTGGAGTGAGCTGGATAGTTCTTGTGGGGCTTTCACAGACATAGACAAATAATGGATAATGATGGTCCAACTCTAGTCATCAAGTTGACTGAGACTCAACGCGATCCTATAGCGCAGAGTAGAATTGCCCCTATGAGTTTCTGAGACTGTAACTCTTCACTAGAGTAGAAAGCCTCATTTTTCTCCCTTGGAGCTGCTGGTGGTTTTAAATAGCCACCCCTGCACTTATCAGCTCATTGTGTAAACCCATTATGCCACAGGGCTCTTCTAATCAAAGGTAGTTTTTGTTAATATCATCTGACAAATGGCTTTAAAATTTTAATTTCATAGAGGTTGATTTAAGTACTAAATGAGATGACACATGTAAGGTATATTAGAGGTGATCAATCAGTATCTGTTTGCCCTTTTGGATGTGAAAGATGAATTACCTGTTTTGTGAGTTTTCAAAATGTCAGTCTTCAGCTCTTGCCAAACCTGCACCCTTTGTTTTTAAGTCCTGAAAGCCAGATATGAAGAGAATAAGAGGTTGCTGCTTCAATCCACGATTTTAAACATATGCACACATTCAAGTTCATGCGCCAATATTGTTCATGGGCAGAGCAATATACTATAGCATGTCCATGGGTTATTTTTCTTTAGAGTTGATACTTGGACAAAAAACAATGAGATTTTACTATTTAGAATTGAACAATATTTTAACTCTAAAGTCAAATTCCCTGTCCTTTCTTATACCCAACACCTTTCATTGGCCTCAAAAAGGGTAAGAGCAAACAAAACACTAGGTTTGCTTGACAGCAGAGAGAAGCAGCAATAGGAGAGGGAAATAGTAGCTTATTAGTTAAATGAAACAAAACATTGAATGGCTAGTCTCTGTGATCCAGTGAATCTGTGAAATCACACTTATCTAAATGCAAACTCTAGCTCTACCACTTCCTACTTGCATGATTTCAGGCTAGTTGCATAACTTCTTCTAATCTATACAAGAGGCACCCCAGTGGGTTACTCTTTAGAAAGGAACAGGGAAGCATGTGATAAATGTTACTTGATTTACCATTTCTATAAAACCACAGTTGGTGGTCATAGGTGTAAGGAATGACCATGAAATCATTACAGATTTGCAGCACTTCTGATGTTGTAGTTTTCAGTCACTTAAAAAGTTTGGCTGGGGAACTGCTAAGCAAGCAAAATCAGAATTTTAATAGTTGGGATTTAAGAAACCTTTCAAAACGTGATAATATGCAGGGATGACCTCCACACATTTAAGTTCTATGAGTCAAAACGGCACTTACAATTTTTAAATGACACAAATGTTGAAATTCCACTGGTAATAAGATGAATTCCTTCTGTGGGCTCCTTTCAGTGTGACTGCTGAGAAATAAGGAGCAGATTTTGAATATCACAAGTGAAAAGAGAGAAAGCCCTAGGCTTCTTTTAGAGCAGGGCTGGGGATTGTCTGCCTGCTGGCTGCAAGAGGCCAGCAAAATCTTCAATACTAGCTAACCATCACAGGGGTGACTTAATTAAATGTTCGACCAGTACGGCCCACAATGGTGTTATAAATATCTAAATGGCCGTTGGCAGAAAAACAGTCCCGCACCCTTATTTTAGAGGTACGTACACAGACTTATCTGGTACATAGCAAAGCGAACGGTCGTGTTTCCAAAATGCAATTTGGCTGCTTGACAAATGGGATGTTCTTGTTATGGTTAAATTCTAACGAGCTCGAAGCTTATGCAACACTTTCGTTTTAAACTGGATCAAATGTTACGCGGAGAGTAAAGGGGGGAGTACAAATTACAGAGCTGCATTTGAAAATTAAAATTGGAGAGAATTTGGGGGAAAAATTTCTGCGTGTGCTTCCTGTGCTTTCCAAATGCATCCGAAGGTGAAGCACGGTGGTGAGCTAACAGGAATTGCAGCAAATCACCTTTCTGAATTGAGTCCACCTCTGGCGATAGAATTGCGCTTTGTAGACTCAGCTCCACGTAAACACAAGGTCACCACCGATCTCAATTTCACCCCATCCCCGCCCCTGGAAAGGAGTCCAGGAGGGACGCAGCACACAGCCCTGTTTGCAGTCCGGGACAAAGGTTCCGGGGGGCGGGATAAAGGTTAATAACCGCTTTAAATAAAGCAGTGCGGGGAATTCTTTAGACCGTTGCCTTGTGCCGGAGCAGGGAAACTGGAGTGTGGATCCGGCTCCACTTCGCCTGGGGCGGAGATAAGAAGGGAGAGGCGGAGCACGGCCCTCCTTGAACTTGAGTGCTGGGCTAGAGGGGTGGGTTCGGGAAGCGGGCACGCGGTCCTTTCCGGGACCCCAGCGCTCAGCCCGGGATTTGCCCACCACCCTGCCCAGCTCCGCTGCCTCGTTCGGGAGTTTCTGGAAGCAGAGAGCCCGCACGCGACTAGTGCGACCGCGACCGCGACGGCGGGCAGAGGGATCCGGGCGGCCCGGACGCCCCTGACACAGAGGATTCCGTCCTCGGATCCCTCCCTCTCGCCCCCCTTTCGCTTCCTCCACTTACCTTGCCCGGCGGACCCACCCAGCGCGGGCCGCAGATTCCCAGCCTGCGGGCAGGAGAGAGAAGGGGCGGGGCCCTGGAGCGCGCCCCCGAGCGGCCGGAGCAGCTCTCGGGAGCGCGCTCCCGGCCCGCGAGAGCGCGCTCGCGCCGCGGCGCGTTCCGACCCGGGCTCGCTTTACGGCAACCGCGAACGTGTCGTGAGCGAGCTGCCGCGGCTCCGAGGCACCGGTCTGCTGGAGGCGGAGGCTCTTATTCTAGGGGTGTGCTTTTGGGGGTCAGGGTAAGGCTGCCGGGCTTCGTCTTGAGAACATCGCGAGGGGGTGAAGGACGTGGCCGGGGCCACAACTGCTAGGAAGGGTGGAGAGAGCGCTGGGTGCTGCGGGTGGGTGTTAATGCCTAGCTGTGTGCTCTCGCGAAACGGACGCCGTCCTCTTCCTCGCGTCGGGGGCGCTCGGGCGGGTGCTAGGAAGGGCGAGGACCCCCTCGGGCCTCCTGGAGAGACATTGAGGGGCCGGGTGTCTGCGCGAGGGCCCGGGCGCCGAGGTGTGGGAACGGGGGGCCGGGCTGGAGCCAGCCTCGGCGGGCCAGGTAGGGCCGGGCGGGCCCGAGGGCTGGGGGCGCTGCCCTCACGGAACCGACCTTGCCTCGCAGGTCCACGCCCTCTTCCCGCCCGGTGCTGCCAAGTCCTCAACCCGCTGTGCAGCCTGTGCCGGGGTTGCCAGCCTTTTGGAGAGTGGTGCTAGTATTTCGTGCCTGGGCTGCGCTCCTTGGTCAGCAACTTCTCTAGACATTTCCGTCGATATTGACGAGCTCTGAGATTGCCAGCTATGACTTATGTCAGCAGTATTCTTGGAAGGAGGGCAGAAGAGTGGCGGCTGGGGCCCGGGTTCCCAGGAACACAGGCTGTTCCGTTTAGGAAGCATGTTAAACTAATTTTCTGCAGTTCGGTGCTTGGCGTTTCTGTGTCATTTTACCATTTTTGCATCCTTGATATTGGACGTAAAATTCTCCTCTTGGTTCGTCAATAAATCCCCGCTACCCTGTAGGTCAATTTATTTTGCGTTTTCAGCAGATTTTAATGTCTCGTATGTGGACAAAGACTATAGTTTCGGTTTCTACACTCAAACTAGTAGGGATATGCTAAGTGTGTAATGAATTGGTTAACTTACAAAACAGTTTTAGATTGTGCTAAAGCACTTTGAGTGTTGCTCATTTAGAACCATTGATGGACACATAAAATCCGAGATTGAAGTTCTGAAGCGTTTGGCCTTATAGTTCTCTGCTCTGAGAAGGAAAAAAACTTGTTGAAACCACTGAAAGTCTTGTTTTTCAAGAAATAAATCAATTATGTCAGCCTCTAGTATTAACCTGTCTGTTCTTTCAACAGAGGCTTCTTTATTTGTTGTCTAATTAATAGATTACTACTGTTTCATATATTCATTCTCCTTCCGGTCTCAGCCCAAATCTGTTATCATGCAAAATTTGCATGATACTTTTATTCAACTTGTGAAGTACTACAAACTTTTTTTACCCCCCAGTAACTTCAAGTACTAGTGCATAGTCAATTAATTTGTTCTATAGGTAATAAATGATCAATTGGTCTTTTCAAGCTGGTGGTGGTCTTTTTGAGGGAACAGGAAAATATCCTCTGAAATGCCACACTTCCCAACCCCCTTGCCTGTAGTTTTTTACATTTAAAAAAAAATGGAATGCAAGATTTCACTTCAGCAACATAGTACATCTGAATTGTGTTTTGCATTTGAAATATGGCTATAAAGGCCTGTTTTTGTGAACTCCCTGTGTATATTACTTGTTAAGGAAGGCTGAACTTAATCTATGATCTTAGAGTTTTTCTTTTCTGTTTACTTGCTCATTATCATTTACCAACCTAATAACCCCTTAATATTTTTCTCTTGTGGTGCCACAAAGGTTGGGAAGGTCCGTAAACATACTGCCAAATCTGTGAAGCTCAAAACTTAGCATTCGCAGAAGTGGGGTAGGGAGGTGAGAATTCCGGAATTTCATACTGCAGCTTAAATACTCTGTAAATGTATTTACCTTGCGTTCTGCTGATACTTGTCAGACTTTCCCCACTCCTGAAATCAACACAGAAATAATGTAGGCAGCAGGCCGTTGTCCTCAGCTTGTAGAAGCTCAGGTGTGCTCTAATGCCTACACATTGCATGCAGTTTCAGTATAGGTGTTTGTTAAATGTCTTTGGTTATATTTCTGGACCTTTGTTGTTTGATTATATTTTTGAATTTTTGTTGAACTTTCTACATAAATATTCCTGCCTGTACAAAGGCAATTCTTTGTCAGATCATATATCCCTGGACCTCCCACAAGTGTATTCACAGCGCGTTATAATTTAGCTGTTTACAATACTGCCTTCCTTCTCTTTTTTGAGCTTTTTGAGAGTATGGATGGCATATTTTAATTTCTTGTTTCCTCGGGGCCTTGAACACTGGTTATTCTTGGCAATGAATCGTATTTGTTCATTGCTCAACACATAAGTATTGATTACCTAGTAAGTCAAAATATGATCATGAGATTATGGAAAATAGAATGTTAAGAAGATAGCCATGCCTCTGACCTTATGGAGTTCACAGGTCAGTGTAGGGCATTCTGCTCCCAGCCTGCTCCACCCTGGACAAAGGAGCAAATCAAGAAAGTTCAAAATGTGATGAGAAAAGAGCCCTAGAGGAAGCATGTACTGATTAGAAGTGGGAAAGTTACAATAATGTGAACAAATTATTGTAAGCTGAGTTATAGATGGATTTTTTACAGTTAACTCATTTACTATTATGATTCATGAAAACATTTTTAATTAGTAAATAGGTTGTGCTACAAAAATTACAGGTTTCTTTACAGGCTCATGGGTGGCTTCCCATTCTATCCGTGTGAAATCTCAACTTCTTGTCGAGGTCTAAAAACATCTCCACAGTGCTGCTTTTCACCCTCCGTTTCCTTTCCATCTGGTTTACCGCTGGCCGTCCTGCCAAATGATTTGGTAGGTGCCTGGAAAAAAACAGACTTTTTCTTGCCTCAGGGCTTGTACACGTTTCTTGGATTATTCTCCCTGGTGCTCTTAGAATGGCTATCTATTTCTCTGTCTGTGGTTTTGGCCTAATTGTCAGGCCATCGGAGAATATGTGTTCTGGTTTAGCACTTGCTTTCATAGTAGCCCCCACTCACAGTGTGTAATACTATTCATTTGTTTACCTGTGTGTACTTTTTCCCCACTGGGCATGGGAGCAGGGACCATGCCTGGATTGTTCACTGCTCTCAGATATTGGTTGAATGCCTTTGGAACTTGGATTCAATTTCCCCATAAAACTTGTGTCAATCGCTGATGGTTAGATTCCTAAGCTAACTAGCAGTAATTTTCCCATTTTTTTTGTAATGTGGTTAGAAAAGGACATTTTCTCCTCAATCTGTATAAACCTGACTGCAGATAAGATACCGTATATACTTGAGTATAAGCCAATCCAAATATCGGCCGAGGTGCCTAATTTTACCACAGAAACGGCATTAAAATGTGTTGGAAGACTCGGCTTATACGCGAGTCTATCTGGTAATCTCTCCATTTCATACTCGCTCTTCTCGCTCTTCACTTGGTGAAGCTCCGGCTTTCTCACAGCCGCCCAACTGCCCTGCTCCCTTGAGATGTGCTTGCTTCTCACGTGCTGAATTTCAGAAGCCCCTTGTCTTCATCTTCCTGAAATGGTTTTCAGAGCAGCAGTCTCTGGGTCTTAGGTGTGGAAAAGGGAACTTGGTGATGGATCTGTGGTGGTGACAGCAATCTCCAAGGCTGGCTTCCGGAAGGACATGGAACTGAATTTCAATTTGTGATGTTGTTGCTAATAGTTTCAGGGAGACAACGTTGCTAAATTGAAATATTGGCAAAGGAAACCTTCAAAAACTTCTTTGGCACTTAGATATGATGACTAGACTTAGAAAGGCTTGTCAAGATGTAGATTTTTCCGAGAGAGAGATGGCTAAGGGAAGAAACAAAAATCTAGGTCAGTGTGCGGAGAAAACTCAGGAGGAAAGTATCGGTTTATCAAACAGTGCTGCCAAATGCTCAGACTGAAAACCCTAAGTATCAGTCTGTGTAGGTGCTTAGTGCCAAAAGCCAGCCAGCACCCACAATGTATCACTTTTTTTTAGCAGTAGAATGAAACACTGCAGTAATAGGATACAAATTGACTGGAATAAATTTTTTATTTCCATTGGAATCCCATAAGAGCTGATTATAGCTCACCAAATGTGCAGATACATTATCCCATTTGGCTACTGTAAGACAACGTGTTTGGGTGACTCTTGGTCTGTCATTTGATCTAAACTGAGAAGCTGGGCGCATGTTGAATGATAGGTCAATATAGATCAAGGGCTGTGGTGGTTCTGTGGTGGAGTTCTCATCTTCGATGTGAAGCCCTGGGTTCAATTCCCAGTGACGGTTTCTCATGCACAGCCTTACGGGAGACCTGGATGTTGCCGTAATGTTGGACAGCTCTCAGTGTCTCTTCCATGAAAGATGGCCTAGGAGAGACATTCTTAGTGATCTAATCCCAGCATCAGCCAACCACCCATCTGCAGTGATCCTGGGGGTTGCACAGTACTGCGCAGGAGTTTGTGCTGTTGTTCATGGGGTCTGCGTGAGTTGGGCTTCGTTTGATAGCAGCTAACAACAAATATCGTGTCAAAAGCACCTTTAATCACTAGCTTTTTTTAACAGTTGATTGTGTGGAGGAAGTTCTCTGAAGTAGTCAGAAATGAGTGTGATTTGCCTTCTTGGCATGAAAATTATTTGAATATCTTCTATTTCAGAGCGTTTCAGGTCACTTAAATGATATCACTGGTTTTGCGTTTGTTTTTTGTTTCAGTTGTTGAGATTTTTAATTACTTATGTAAGTTTGACTTGACTAGAATGGCTGTTTTCTGAGCCAGGCACTGAAATACACACTCTGACAAAGGATTTGGATACCACTTTAAACTGTCAGTGATTCTGAAGTTTTGGAATTTAATATTGATGAAGATGGAGGGCAGAAGTATTTTAAATCCTAGCCACAGTGATACTGGGTCTATTGTTGCAATGCCCTGAACCTGTATCACATTCTGTAGTCTCATAGTGAGTGCATCCTTTCTGGAAATTTTACATTACTTTGAGAATAGTTTATGATCAGCAGGTCTACGTACACATCTCTTGATTCAATGCCCTTTTCATTCTACTAAAATTACTCTTTTTTTTTTAATCCTCTTAGTGCTTCTCTCCTTCGTCCTTTCACTAACTGTAGATTTCCTACAAGGTTCTTTATTCTTTTTCTTGTGTCTAATCCCTTTAAGAACTCACATACTTTCTAATCTTTACTGTCTAAATGGATGACGTGGAATTTTCATGTCTTACCCAAAGTCCATTGAGAGGTAAGGAATCGCCTTGCAGAAAGCGAGTTTGGCCTTTTGAGCCTTGGTTTATTCTGCAGTTCCAACACTTGAGTCTGAAGAGCAATGACTGACCAGCCCCAGACAGAGTAGCTGGGGGCCATTGTCGACTAAGAATCACAAAGCGTGGTATAATCTACTCTGGTGACTTGTGTGAGGCCAATAAAAGCCCAGGGGCTCTGATGGGCCTTTCTGGTGCACTGGAGAGGGGAATGTGTCCCCCTCTGGGGACATTGAAGCTGTACTGTACTCTGTTACCCCTCCCAGAGCTCACCTTACATGCTGCTGCTTTTGCACCTTTTTGTTGTTGTTGTATTAAAGCCGTTGTCACCATTATAGTGTTTCCCATTGCGCTCTGTGAGTCATTTAAGAAATTATTGGAACCCAAAGAGTAGAGAATGTGGAATCCCAAGACTTGCTGGTCCCTCCTGACCTAGCCCGAGGTGACTGGGCATAAGAAAGAGACTGGTTACATTGCCAGTTGCGATCTGACCTGAGGGAAAGACAGCTGAGGGTTCCTTAGGGTGCAGCTGGCCTGTGAAGTGGGGTTTGTTGCCCACCACACAGTTTGGTTGCAGAGGTGGGTGATCTTCGACTCCCTGTGCCGGTGTGTACAATCCATACAGTGAGCAGTATTTGCTAGAGCATCCCCTGGCTTGCATGCAGTCTTTGGCGTTTGTTTAAAACTCTGCTTAAAAGGCCATGTATGTCTTCCCTTCTTGCCCTCATCCTCATACCCCTCTGACTTCACTTCAGTGCCAAAATAACAAACTGATAGTTCTCCAACTTTCTCTTTTGACAGTAAATACCACAATACTTTCTACCTGTTGACTCATTTTGTTTTCTCAAGGATGAGTGTTTCTATTCCCATAAAGATTACCGTCTTAGAAACCCCCACGGGGCAGTTGTGCTCTGTCTTCTAGGGTAGCTGTGAGTCAGCATTGACTGGATGGCAGTGAGTGAGTGTGTTTTTCCATCCTTCACTTTGTAACCGCTAAGCCTTTTCTGGTAGTTCTCTCTCGATACAAGTAGCAGATTTCACTCTCTTCCATGTTTCCATTTTACTACCGTACTCTCCGTTCTCAACCACCGTGTCAAACCATTGTGATCCCTGTATTTGCTTGTAAGTGCTCACTACTCTCTCCTTTCTGAGTAATATATACAGATACCCTGTTGATCTTGAAAATATTCTCATTTTCATGTTGCTGCTTGATAGAGTAGTTTATGTTAGCATTAATGTTTTCTAAAGTGAAAGTGCTATAGGGATTACATTTTTTCCATACTATTCCCATACTATTTCATCATATACATATATGATATAGCATAGATATGCTAATATATTATGTGATACATATCTACTGCCCTCTTAAAGTTAACTTTTTTGTTTTTTACCCTCACCTGGAATACCACTTAAAATAGGTTGTGTGGCTCTGGGCTTGCACCATCAATAGAAATAGACTTTTAAAAGTCCCTGATTTAGTTATACCTACTTGACATTTATAAGTCTATTAGCTTGATGTTCTTTTTTTTTTTTTAAACAGGTAAAGAATAGCCATAAGAAGTTATAAACTTAATGTAAATTACTGTCTCCAGATAAAAGAAAATCAAGATCAATGAGTGGGCATCGGTCAACAAGGAAACGATGGGATTCCCACCTGGAGGCCCCGGTGGGCTTGGGCCATATGAGCACTACAGGATGTGTATTAAATAAACTGTTTCAGTTACCTACACCACCACTGTCCAGACACCAACTGAAGCGGCTGGAAGAGCACAGGTATCAGAGTGCTGGACGGTCCCTGCTGGAACCCCTGATGCAAGGATACTGGGAATGGCTAGTTGGTCGAGTTCCCTCCTGGATTGCTCCAAATCTCATCACCATCATTGGACTGTCAATAAATATCTGTACAACAGTTTTATTAGTCTACTACTGCCCCACAGCGACAGAACAGGTAAGTTTCGTGATAGTACAGCTCACTGTTTGCTAAGTACCAAGACAATTTAATTAAGATTATGGCTCATTTTAACTAATTAGGTAGTACTGTGACATCTGTTTTGAAACCCCCTATCCCACCTGTTGCTGATCCAGCATGTCTATTACTGTTAGCTGATTTACCTCTTATTCGAAACCAGAAGAAAAGGATGAGGCAAAGAATTTGATCAGGGATTAACTATTGCTTTTAAAATCAGATCATCTGAATTCTTCAATAAAAAAGGTTTTGACATTTTAAAAAATGTCTGAATGAAGTTTTAGCAAAATTTAAAATCAGGGATTTTGGTATTTGAGATGGCTATAAATCAGTTTCCTCAGAAGTGTCGTTTTCTTAATTCCAGTGAGAATTGAATACTCCTTTTCTCTTGCTATAACATGCATGGCTTGTAAACCTATCAAAACCAAACTGACTGCCATTGAGTTGATTCAGACTCATAGTGACTCTTTAGGACCAAGTCGAACTGAACTTCCTTACAGAAACAGACTGGTGTCACTTAGCTACCGCTCTATTATTGCAAGGCAAAGGAAGAAAAAACCAGCATAATAGAGGGGGTTATAAAAAGTTCATAGGAAATTCCATTACCTTTTAATTCCATTTTTCCACAAACTTTGTGAAGTACCTTCCCGCCTTTACTGGTCCATGTTCTGCTTTGGTCAGCATTTAGAAAAGAACCATACTATTGCTCATTAAGACTCTTTCCATAAGTCTTTGCAAACCTAGGCCTCTGGACTGCTGTTACCATATATAAACCAATCTTGTGTTTCAGAGTAAAATGTGTCCTCTAGGGTTTTTAAGGCTGTGACCTTCTGAAAGTGGATTGTCAAGCCTTCCTCCAGAGGTGCTTCTGGGTGGATTCAAGTTACCAACTTTTCTCAGTTTATGCCATCCCGGAACTCCTAATACTGTCTATACCATTACTTAAAATTAAAACAAAACTGGAGCCCTTAGATCAGAATGAGTAGATTGATGTTAGTTACTCTGATTTGAAAGTTTTCTTTTCAAAAAATGAACTAAGGTAATTAAATACATGAAAGTATATTGTTAAAGAATACTTAACCTATCATGGATGTCTAGAAGAACAAATACATTTTTCTTGAAGTACAGCTGTGCAGCTAGTATGCTCCTTAGAAGCAATGATGGCAAGACTTCCTCCCACGTTTTCACAGACATTAGACTTGTTATCAGGAGATGTCAGGCCTTGGAGAAAAACACCGTACTTGGTACAGTAGAGGATCAACCTAAGAGAAGACCCTCATGAGGTGAATTGACAGTGGCCACAACACCGGGCTTCGCAGAGAGCAATAGTTGTGAGGGTGGCGCAGGATCGGCAGTGTTTTGTTCTATCCTCAGGTCTCTGAGTCTGAAGTGACTCAGCGGCAGCCAGTGCAAATCCACCCCTCATCCTGCCTGTTTCACCAGTTCTCCAGTCGTGGAGTGGCTGCCGATTGAGGACTGGAGCTACAGATAAAACGTGCTTTATCTTCTTTCAGGTCCTTTACTTTCCCCTCACTGTTGAATACCTGTATTTTACATTCTTACTTGCTCTACAAATATAGTTGATGTGGTGTTTGTATGGATTTGTTTCTGGTTTTCCTTTATTTCCTTACCTGCCTTGCTTTACATCCATCAGAAAACTTATAAAACAGAAAACCGGTATGGTTACATAAATATGTTCGGGGATCCTTTATCACATGTCTTTGAAGTGCCCTTTGAGTAGGGCTGGTGCACTCTCAGAAGGAGTTAAAGTCTTAGAGACTCAGAGGTCATTCTGTCCTGTCCTCTAGGGTCACCATGAGTCAGAATCAGCTCAGGGGCAGTGAGTTTGTTTTTGAAGTCAAAATTATTGCTACTCGGGTTCCTATACATGTCTGTGTGTACTGCTAAATTCAAGTCTCTAGCGTCGTGAATTCCCTCGAGCAGTGCTGTTCAATACAGCTTTCTGTGGAGCTGGCAGTGTTCTCTGTTATCTGTGTATGTGATCAGTGTGGTAGCCATAAGCACATCGCCAAGCTCTTAATGCATGGTTAGTGTAACTGAAGGCAGGAATTTTAAGTTTTATTACATCTTAATAACTAAAGCCACACCTAATGTCTACTATGTGGGACAATATGAAATATTTTAGGGGGAAGTCGAAGAGCAAAAGTACAGAAGATAAGGTTCTTAATCATCTAGGATTAATTATCCAGTCCAATGTGGAAAGTATGGTTACACAACCCCAGCTAGCACTTGGAGGATTGGCAACTCTGGTTTCCAGCCTTCCAGTTACCCTGGAGTCACTTCTTACTCATGGCAACCCCATATTGTGTCAGAGGAGAACTTTGCTCTGGAGACGGATATGGAAGTAGATCACCAGGCTTTTCTTCCAAGTTACCTTTGGGTAGATGCCTTTTATTATGTGAGCCTTTTAACTATGCACCCACCAGGAACTCTGGTTTACAGGAATATGCAGTATGATCTTTTAGTAGCCTCAGGGAGCCCTAATGACCCTGTGAGTTAGTTGGATTGCTAGACACAAGATAAGACTTTCAAATGTACCAGCCACTCCTAGGGAGAAAGATAAGACTATCTATGCATACAAAGACGTACAGCCTCAGAACTCAGGATTTACCCAATCATATAGAGGATTTCTTTAAGTTGGAATTAACACAGTGGCATTGGGCTTGATTTTTTTTTTAATAGCCTACATGTTCTAAATTATGGGACTCCTAGAAAATGTTTAAGAGAAGAACAGAACTAGATAAATCTCTTTCAGAGAAATATTTCCTGTTTAAAGGAACCTTCATGGAATATACTAAATATTTCCAGCCCTGAGTTGTTTAATTTGCAACTCGGCAGTTTATCTTGATAACTAGTATCTGTTAATATGCCTTGTTAACAGTAAAATTTTCTTCAAGGCATGGATGTAGGAAAACTATGAGTAGTAATATAAATCACCTTTAAAGCTTAAAAATAAGCCAAATAGAAGTTCTCCCTTTTTAAAAATACTTTTATTGGGGGCTCTTACATCTCATCAAAATCCATACATACTTTGCTCCAGTGTATCAAGCATATTTGCCGCCATCATCATTTTCAAAGCATTCTCTTCCTACTTGAGCCCCGATAGCCGCTCCCCATTTCTTCCCCTTCACGCCCCCACCTGCCCTCCCTCATGAACCCTTGATAAGTTATAGATTATAATTTTTTCTATATCTTATATCGTCCTCCATCACCCCTCACCCACTTTTCCATTATTCATCCCCCTGGAGGGGATTCTAGGTTGATCCTATTCTAGGTTGATCCTTGTGATCGATTCCCCCTTTTTTCCCCTCACTCTCCCCTAATCCTGGTATCACTCCTTGTTGGCCCTATCCTGGATTCCCTGTGTTGCAGGCTCTTATCTACAGCAGTGTGCATGTTCTGGACTAATCCGATTTTTAAGGTAGAATTGAGGTCATGATAGTGGGGTGAGGAAGCACCAAAGAACTAGAGGAAAGTTGTGTATTTCATCGGTGCTATACTGCCCCCTGACTGGCTTATCTCTTCCCTGTGCTTGGGTATGGTTTTATTCTGGGTCTTAGATGCCTAATACCTGATCCCATTGACACCTCGTGATCTCACAGGCTGGTGTGCTTCTTCCATGTGGGCTTTGTTGCTTCAGAGCTAGATGGCCACTTGTTTATCTTCAAGCCTTTAAGACTCAGATGCTGCATCTTTTGATAGTCAGGCACTATCAGCTTTCTTCACCACATTTGCTTATGCACCCAAAAAAATTTGTTTTCAGGGATCCTGTCAGGAAGGTGAGCATCACAGAATGCCGGATT